CAGACGAAGAATTTGAGAATGATGTTGATTAGAAAAATACTCCTTTAGCTGACACTTGTATTGGTCAGGCTCTTGATGATGCCACCTTTGCTCCTCGTATATACCAATCAAAAGTTACTTATTATAATGATCCTCTTTTAATTGCTCATTCTCTTCATTCAAGTCAAGAATGCAAAAGACAATCAATCCTTAACAAACAAGCTCAAAATCCTGATATCTCCTTTTTGTTTAAGTTGGCTATTAGTGAAACTGAAGCAAAATAAGTACCTGTTTGTTATTTTGTTAACAATGGGGTCCTGATAAAAAAAAATGAAAAATACCTGAGGTACCCGCTGGTGCCGAGTGGTTAGTAAGCTATCAAATTGCTGTTTCTTAAGTCGTATAGACGGAACATTTTTAGTTATGCCCATGAAACTCCTTTGGCTGGTGAATTGTGGGTCAGTAAGACTTATCAAAAGATTTTGAATAATTTGTATTGGTCACAAATTATTAAAAGTGATGTTTGTAAATACTGTAGATCTTGTAAGACTTTTCAAATGGTAGGAAAACACAATCAGAAAATACCAAAAGCTCTTCTCCAATATATTCCTGCATCTGACGAACCATTTAACAGAATAATGGTAGACTGTTTCATTGATTTAACTAAGTCAAAAATGAAATTAGGATATGACAGAAAGACCAAAGAAAGCAGTTTTAAGCCTGTAGAGTTCTAGATCTCTTGTCCAAACCTAAAAATCCTCTTCGGCCTGAATTGTATTGGTCCTTATAAAGTTAGAAAGAAAATAAGCAGCTTAACTTGCATCTTTAATACTCCTTTGATGTTAATCTTAAAGGAGTAGGTTGATAGAGATTGCCATGTCACGCATTCAATTAATTTAGTTGTACCTGTTCCACACATTGAGTATTTAGGTGACGGAATGCAGATTATAGCTACTGTGGTATAATCAGTTCTCGGAATTCAAAAATACTGAATAATCATGTAAGTAACTTTCGCATCTACAGACACAAGAAAGGAATAAATTAAATATATTATTTGAATCTGAGCATATGTTTATAGATATTCCTACCCAAGCAAATACAAGCTAACATGACGTTGAAATTATGTATTCTACAACTATGATTCACAATCCGTACAGAATGAACCCTCACAGACAGGAATGTTTGAAAAAAGAAATTCAGCATTTGCTGCAGAATTATTTCATTGAACCGATTAAAAGTTAGTGGAGTTCGCCATGCAGTCTTGGAAACCAGATAATACTTTCCGCATGTGCACATATTTTAGAAAAGTGAACATCGTGATAAAATGAAATTAATTTCCATTGCCAATATTGCAGAAAATGGAAATGCTGAATGGCAACAAATTTGACATTTTGAAAGGATTATTTTGACGGAATGGACACAAAAAAAATTTCGGCATTCGTAACTCCGAATAGCCTTTATCAATAAAAAGTGATGATGTATGGGATTAACGTTTAATGAACATTATGACAATTGGTCTAGAAAACTGACGCTTACATCGATGACGTCATCATCTACAACAATCCCTGGAACGATCACATGCAGAAGTTTTGGAAATTCTCTGACACAATCAAATATATAAACTAAACAAATAATTTAAATAAAAGTGAGTTTTGCCGTGCTTGTGTTATATTTCTAGGACATATTGTGGGGCACAGACAAGTTAAACCTATAGAAGTCAATGGTTTTGTTCTCTCTGACTTTCGCGTGTCTAGTAAAAAGCAAATGATGCTATTCTGGATATAACCGGATATTGCTAAATCCCTGACCAGTTTGTTAAGTAAGAAAGCCAAATTTCATTGGTCTGAATAATGTTAGGAGGCTTTTGATAGGTTAAAAACCATACTATTAGGTGAGCCAGTTCATTTATCTTCAAGTTTCAGTCACTCATTTAAAATGTATGTTGATACAAGTGATGTTGAGTTTGGTGCAGGATTGATTAAAGAAGACAAAAATGATATAGGTCATCCAGTGTGCTGTTTCTCGAAACAAAGTAAAATACGCAGCAACGAAATGATTGCATAATCCAAAAGGTATGCTTGGCTTTAATATTGACTTTGTAACGCTTTAAAGAGGACATTTATTTAGCTCCATCTCCGAATATTGTGTTTCAGTGATCACAACTCTTCTTCTTCTAGTAGCAAGATGGAAACAAAAGTCAAAGATTACTAAGGTGGGTGTTTAATGTTCTAGGAATACAATAATGACATCAGGCACATCAAGGACAAGATAATCTAACTGTAGATATACTTTCACGTGTATAGAAGTATTATATTGCTTCATGTATATTTTCTGTCACTCATAAGACTTACGTCATTTTTAATTACATGTATAAATAAAAGATGATTTTGTGTTCAAATATTTATTGTTAAGTGGTTGAATTATTTAATTTATATGTGCTAGATTTTTTTCTCCATGATTATATGCAGGCATTATTGTATTTCCGACTTTACTTTGTCCAAAATCAAGTTCACGGTGGGATTTAATTCACAATATCATAATTTTTTCAACGTTTCACTGTGTATTCAATGGAAATAAATTATTTGTTCCATTTTACAAAACGTGTTGGTTTTCACTCTTTTATAATATTTAGTTCAAGGCCATAAGGTCGTAATTATATCTCTTGATACGCTAATGATAGCAAAACCAATATATGAACAGCCTTGTATCCAGGAACTATTTGAAATGTTGTACATGCATATCCCTATTTTTGTACCTACTGAGCTACTTCTACTTCAAATCTATTGACATAATTTCAAAATACGTAAGGTATTCCTTCACGAAGGACAGTACACAAATCTTAGTACAATAATGTACAATTTTATTAAAGTATTCAAAACTTTCATGAAATCTACTTCACTGTTTTGGTAATTTCTTACACCCGACTCCACTTTCGTAATGATTTTTCATTTGATGCTGATGAAAAAAGGCAAAGTTGACGGTGAAGATATTATTGGATGAAGTATTACCACAGAAATTACAACGAAGAATTCTTGACAAATTTTTTCCTGTGATTGGTACTTTTCTTTCTTTCATTTTGTTTTTTTTGGGGGGGGGTTGGGCGACAGTGACAGTGTTTTGATCGCAGGCTCGAAAACACAATATTTGCAAATGATACGAAACTAGCGCTATAATTTCGTCAAGTTAGTTATTTCCATTTAATACACCGTGAAACGTTTTGAAAAGAAATTATGATATTGTGAATTAAATCCCACTGTGAACTTGAATTTGGACATTATACTCTAAACTCCAAACCCCATTCCATATTCCACTGCAACACTCCTCTTTACATTGTACAATATGCCCTCAAAGCAAAAATAAACACAGTAATTTCAACAGACACTTGTATTGTACCTCAAAGTAGGACAACTGAAAATAGTTGAAGTGAAACTAAATTTTTTTTATGATTTAAATACAGGATGTCATAACTATAGTGCGCCTCTTCATTCTAACAGCTTGCTGCCTAATATATCTACTGGTGGTCTATTTTAAACATCAAAAATCAGACGACAAATTACAAGCCATAGGAAAGACACCACTAGGTCTTTCATTTTCATCTTGACGATTTCATAAAGCAATTATATCTGCCCACTCATTTTCCGATAATCATCAAAAATCTGCAAAAGAGAACACAACAGCTTTACTGAGTTTCCTTTCTCAGAAATTCTTTTAGCATTGAAAATAGTATTATCCCACCCCACCCGTAAACATCAAAACCATTAGTTCAAATAGTTTACCAAATAGTTTCATGTTTAAAATAAAATAAGTATCGAACAAGTACAGAAATAACGATTAAATTCATCCATGTAGAAATTACGACAAGATAGTCCCCGTTTAAACATTATATCGAAAGAAATGCTATATTATATATGTAGCCCAACTCATGGGTTCTGTCACCGCATGCAAATTTGAAATTGACAAATTTACGACCCGGTAGCATTCTGTCAGAGGAAGAATCATTATTTTGGACGATGAGATGCAATCAAAGCGACTCTGTTTTAAGAAACTTTCACTCCAGGTTAGACAGACTGACAGGTCGAACTTCAAAATAGTTTATGGCGTGTTCAAGCCGTAGATACGAAGATAACGGGCCCATAGCGTTTGGAAAGAAAAAAAATAATTACCGTCGGGCACTCGCTTATAACACGTATCCAATGCGAACTGCACAGACCCAGATCTGCCGTCGCACATTTCGTTGGAAAATCTGGTCTGTGAAGTTTATTAGAGTAATCAGTGGGAAAAAAAAAACAACATAGATTCTGATCTGCAGGCACATCATGCTATGGCAAACTAGGATTTAATTGTTTGCAATTTGATTCGTCTTATAAGCAAGTACAGTCGGTATGTCGGTGTTGAACAGGCTGACATACATTTTGTTCGGAATTCAAAACATACTCGACCTAGCACTAACAGCACCAAAATATTTTATAGACATGGCAAGGAAAATTTCTTTTATCAGTAGATATTAAGGTCGTACTAATTTACCCACAAGAGCCAAACCAATATGGCAAATCATGAGTAATATATTGATACGATCTGTCTGACCATTCAAAAATCATTTTTGTTTTTACTATATCCTGACAAAACGCATGCAGTTATTGTTTACGTCTCGTTATAATATAGTCATTTAAAACAAAAATAAATTAAATTGACCGTCGTGGATTTGGTAAATTAAAATGTTTGCGAAATGATAAAATAATTTCTCAAAAATGTACCCACGATATCTACGCCGTTTATAAATATATTGCACACATTCTTAACATAGAACTTCAAAAATTATTAAGAACCTATGTAACGTTGAATAAATATTTCACAATATACTTACAGCGCGTTATCAAAGAAGCATGACTAATAAACCGGAAAAACGGACTTGTTTTATCGAGAACTCAGACTTTTTATTATTTGACTTCTGTTCAGAAATGATTGTCAATATTGGAAATAAAATGTCCACAGGTGTACTTCCTAAACAGCAGAAAAGCAAAAGCTTAGGTGGTCTATTGGTTAGAGCGTCCGTCTCGGATGCGGGAGGTCGTGGGTTCGTTCCCCGGTCGAGTCATACCAAAGACTTACAAAAATGGTACTAACAACTGCCTCGCTTGACGCACAGCATTAAGAGGTTAGTGACTGGTCGGCCTAGTGTCAGGATAATGTGTCTGGGTGGGACATCATGCTACATGTCTACGGCATGATGCCGCAGTGCTAGACATCACTATAAAATGCAACACTGCAGCCATCGTAGCGATATGACTGAAAAATTGTTAAAGCTACGTTAGAAATCATAATCACATCACATCACATGAATGACATAATGTAAGGTGTGACTCTACATATACCTATTGTCTCAAACCTTTATACAAATCTTTATTACTCCAATTGCAATTTGATTTTAATTTATCAAGACTATTGATAAAATAAAGGTGAACTTGTGATAAGCACCTGTGTATCATGTTACTTACTTTGCATATGTATTAAAGTATCACAAGTAATCATCAGAACATTGCTTTGCCAAAAATGTAAAATACCGTTTTGCTTATTACTTACTCCAGTACCTTAGGAAACTTCTTAAAGCAGCTTCATGACGATGCATTGTGTATAGCTTATCGTTAGCAGTCAAATTCATTCCCTTTCTAACGTCTTTTAACAGATTACTATATACAATAACATATGGCACATCAAAATAAATTTGCATTCAAAACAGTTGTGCTTAATTTATATACAAAGCAGATATGTTTTACTTTTTGCGGTTTAACGCCACTGTTTATCCCAAGATATGATGGCCAATATATTTGATGGCGGAGGAACAAGACCCATGGTAATTTACGTGGATAGAGTTTAGATATATGCGTGATCTATCAATGTGAGATCCTTGGAGCACTCGGCCATGCGGAGATCCGCCTGCAAATATTTTATAACAAATAAACTTTGTGATTTGGTAATCACATGTACTATTACATTTTTATATATTTTCATAAATACTTTGCGCCATTTACTCCAACAACAGTAAAGCTCACATGCACATTAATGTGTCAAATTAGGCAAAATATTCAGCTAACATTTTGACCGCTTCAGTGGCCTAGTACTTAGAGCGTTCGCCTCTGATGCGGGAGGTCGCGGGTTCGAACCTTTGCCGAGTCAAATCAAAGACTTTAAAAAATGATACAACTGCTGCCTCGCTAGGCGCTCAGCATTAAGAGGTTAGGGTTTGGACTTTTCGGCCTGGTCTCATGCGGCATGATACCCCAGTACTAGACATCCCTATAAACTGCCACATTACAGACGCGATATGACTGAAAAAGTTTAAAAGCTGCGTTAAAAACCCAAATCAAAATCTCTCTCTCTCTCTCTCTCTCTCTCTCTCTCTCTCTCTCTCTCTCTCTCTCTCTCTCTCTCTCTCACGCACACCACACACACATGCACACACACAACTAACCTATGAAGAAAAGAACAACAACTTCAATTTTTTTTAATTTTCTTTTCTGGAGATTTTAGACCACAACTACGTGAAAAACAAGAATAACACTGGAACTTTTAAAGAAAACATCTAAGAGATGGTGTCATTCAGACTTGTTTTATTTATTTATTTATTTTTATTTATTTTTTCATTCATGTGATCAATCCAAATTAAAGATTGTTATATTTTTTCATGCCTAAAATTGAAAGAAAAAAATTAAACATTTGAGCTACAAATGAAATTATCTATATTCTTCACCTGTACATAATCAAAATAACTTGGCAGTGCCATTTCAGCAAGAAAAATGGATGAACGCATAAAGTTTCTTTACTATACAAACAAAAGAGTCTACGAAACAAAACTTCATGCAAATGTAAGAAAAGAAGAATATATTAATTGGTGCAACGAAAGCACACGCATATCACTTTTACCAACATTTTTCTTATATTTTCGAATTTTCTTACCCTTGGCAACGTATATTAAAAATTTTGTCAAAGTATACTGATGTATATGCTGTGCCGGTTTACCAATTTAGCACACTAAGCACGTGCTTACAGGAGCAGCCCAACAAGGGCACGAGAACATAAATCAAATTAATTGTTGATGACAGAATTTCGATTTGCATGTACGAATGTTGATTTAGAAAGATGGCAATACCGATATTTTCCCACCTTTTAGCTTTTAATACAGTTGTTTTGTTTTGTTTTTTAAGTTTCACATTTTGCAGGTGGCGGGATGCACTTTACTATTTTCAGTGCTTATGGTCCATGACAGCCTTAATGCGGCACCGCCTAAGAGCACTTTCTGACTGGTGAGTATATCAAGCACATTTCATGACCATATACAAAGGTGTTTGCCCTGGCTTCAAAAGTAGGTCTGTATTACTTACTTTCCCGAGGGGCCCTGAGTGGCCGAGTGGTCTAAAGCGCTGTCCGTTTCGGATCACTGCCATCTCACCTCTGTCTGCGTGGGTTCGAGTCTAGGATTCGGCGAATTTAGATATGTGGGAAAGTTTGCCAGTAGCTTCTCGTGGTTCGGTGGTACTTTCCGGTGATTTCCCGGTTTCTTCCTCCACCATTAATACTGGCCGCCATGAATAGCCTATCGTGTGCTGAAAAAATGGCGATAAGCCAAAAAACAACAACTTACTTTCCCTGATAGTTATTGGTACCCTCCAAAGAGATTATTGCAGTGAATAGATAAGACCGGTGATCACATATGATACAAAGTAGTCTGATATTTATACACTTAATGGAAAATGCACTGCCTTTGAGAAACCGAATTTATCGACTGGAAAATGTCTAAAAAAATCTTGTATGTTCGACAGAGATGCTCTTTTGATTTGTCGACTGAAAGTTGAAAGTGATTAAAAGTGTTGATCATTGATAGTGACGTAAAACTTGACACAATATATATTTACATTCTTTGCCTTGACTATATATATATATATATATATATATATATATATATATATATATATATATAGCGATATATATAGCTATATATATATATATATATATATATATATATATATATATATATATATATATATATATATATATATATATGCAATAAACTGACGACGAACAGTACGAAACTAGTAACTAACTAGCCTGCCTAAGCGCTTTCGACTCTTAATGAGTCTTTTTCAAAGGCAAATACAAAACATATATATACGATAAACAGATAAACACAAAAACGTTGTGTTTGTAAACCTCTTCATGGCTGTCTTCACATGTGCTAAAGCTATAAATACAACCAGCTTGTATAGACTAGATGCGGAAACTGAAAACGTTGTATAATTCCCTAAAAGTCTACAAGCCAAAGCGAAATCTATTTTTACTTTTTGTACATATGTAACGCAGATTATATCCCGGATATTTGATTCTATACCGGTTATTCTTATAGTAAAAACTGAAGGATAATAAGAAGATTTAGAAAATGTTAAATATTACTAGTGCATAGTTTTCATTTTCTAGTCTTCTTGGTTTAGACCGCTTGGTTTCAATGTTCTAAGGCGGCGTATCCAGTATGATTCCTTTTCCTTCCTGGTTTCGGAACTCCAGCTGTGGTTGTTAGCAATAGCGATATATATTATATCACTGAAAGTGTGGCCAGGGGAGGAGAAGTGTTCTGCGACCGGGCTTCTGTACAGCTTTTTTGTCATCCAATCAGATCTATGAAGGTTTATCCTTTTGTGTAGCTTTTCAGTTTCTCCGACGTACTGAAGGCCACAGATCTTACATGTGATGAGATAAATCACATTCTCTGTTTTGCACGTTTTGTTTGGACCATGTATGTTTAGTTTTTCTTTAGTCACTGTGCTAGTGAATGTCTTGGTCTCTATCATATGTTGACAGGTTTTGCATCTTTTATCGCCACAGGGTCCAGATGGACTAGGTTGGTTTTGACTAGCGATTGGCGTTAGCTTTGCCCTGACTAGGATGTCCTTTAGGTTTTTTGGTCTCCGGTAAGCTACTACAGGTTTGTTCGGAAGTATTAGGTTTAGTATGTCTGACGATTGCACGGTTGGCCAGTGGTTTGCGATGATTTTACCTACTTTGGGATTGTCTGGGTGATAGGTCAGAATAAATGGTATCCTATCAACCTTTTCTTTCCGTCCATATCTGAGTAGGTCATCACGGTTTTTTTTTGTTTGGCCCTTTGGATTGCCTCCGCAATCAGGTCTTTGTCGTAGCCTCGGTAAATTAAATGTTTAGCCAGCTCTTTAGACCTTTCTAGGAATCTTTCATCGTCGGAGCAAATTCTGCGTATCCTCAGTGCCTGGCTATATGGAATGTTCTTAATGCAGTGTTTTGGATGACAGCTGGTTGGGAGGAGATACTGGTGTTTGTCGGTTGGTTTCGAGTAGATGTCTGTGTGTTATTGGTTTCCACCAGTCTGGTTGTTGTGTCCAGGAAAACATGGTTTGAGTTGGAAATTTCTGCCGTGAATTTTATTGAAGGATGGAAGTTGTTTGCCTTTGATATGAAGTCATCCAGACTTTCTCTTCCATACTGCCACTTCATTTCTATATCATCGATAAAGCGTACCCACTGGTATGGTGTACGCTCAACCGATGCTAAGAGCTGACCCTCAAGTTTTCCCATGAAAATGTTAGCATACGAAGGGGCCATCTAGTACCCATTGCAGTTCCATTGATTTGTAGGTAGTTTTCTTCATTAAATTCAAAGTTGTTTGAATTTGTTGTTTCAGTTGTTTCGGTCCTGTATTTATGTCGTGCTACTGTATACGTTCCATTGTTTCCTTCTTATACTTAAATTGTTGCCGTATCTCTTAGAATGGAGACGATGTCTCAACAAATACAGAAAACATTCAAAACTTTACGCAATGAAACTGATGCCTTAATTCGCCTAAAGCATCATTGCACTTTCTTGCATCATTTCCTCGAAACAAATACAGTCACTAAAGGTCTTCAAATTCATGTGAAACCGCAAATTATTGGCAAGAGTTCAAACAGATTCAACAAAAGATGGAATAAAATAATTCACGACGCTTCCATGAAACTCACAGCCCTACTTAGTAAAAACGTAAATCATCAATATCTAGCCAAATCAGCAACCATTGAAGAACTAAAACATCAG